TTACGTGCCCACTTTGGTCAACAAACCTCAAAACAACTGTCATTTGTTCTTTTATAGAATTATCACGAGCCTCATCAACCAAAATCGAAAACAAACAACCACTCATCTCATTGATAATAGCCCTTGTTGTCTCTACGGCACAACAATTAACCAAGTCCCTCTGGATCTTTGGTGAAGTCATTTGATCATTTGCAGGAGCATTACTGAATAATACTTGTTTAACTTCCTCACAACGAGTTGCATACCAGTCGAGTAGCTCAATTAGATTTCCTCTATTAAGAGACTATTTCGATTCATCGCGACCACGAAATGCCAATCCTTGCATCAAGAGGAATCTAGTACAATCTAACACCGCAGTCAATCTCGTCCTATAATTTTTTGTTGGCCACTACTCTGGCTAGAAATAATGTAGGAGATACTTTGCTTTTGATTTATCAAGTTGGTACACTTTGTGAAAGCTTGATGATGAGCACTATCAAAGAGACCGACATGTTCTTTCAATGTCTTTTTGTGCTTCCAATCCCTAAAGCCTGTCATAGTGAATATATGTACACCCTATTGATACCCTCTATCTGGTTTGAACAAGTAGCGATACAAACAATACGTCGCATCATTTTCTATACTGTACTCCAAACAATCAAATTCAGCAAACCATTCTTTCCAAAAACACTTGTTCTCGCTGCCCATCTGTCTTCTTGGAAAGTCATGTTCATGTGGTTGACAATAGCCTTTCTCTAATTATGTCATCCTAACATCATCTCTGATATTAAGATCATACGACTCAATAGGGGGCGTTTCCCTGGATCAGATACAAGATCATCCTAATTGAACTGAGCCCGAGACTTTTTCGTGTTATTTAACACATCTACTGCTCGACTAAAAGTAGTGACGGGACTAGATGTACCACTAAAATTGGAAGAAATAGCTATGGACTTACGTTTTGGTTGAAAAAATCGTTCCATAATCTATAATTGGAAAATGCCCTAATTTATTTTTCCAATTCAATTGATTAAAAAAACAGAGTACACATTATTTGAATTGAGAATTGAGATCGTAAGTCCCAAATGGTAAATGGGCCAAATTCCAAATCACACCTCAAACACCCTAAACCCTAAATTGAAATTTGTAATTCAAAATTTCAAACAATAGTGTAAGTGTGCAACACATAAATCAGTAAACTAATTTCTCATAATCTTGTGTGCAACT